CATACGTGTTAAAAATACTCCCAACCGGTGCAACATCACCAACATTTAAAACCAATTCACTAGTCACACAAGATTGAATTACACTCTCACATCCACTTTCACTTCCACCACCACTTTGACTTGTAGTTGCACTTGGTTTAGCATAAAATGCACTGTATACCTCATACAACTTATGCATGACATCCACTACTGCTTCTTTCATTTCACTACACTTTGGTGTATCTTTGCCATACAATTTTTCAAAACAAATTGTCACAAAACTCATCTTGCTCCTTGGATCCAACACACTACTAACAATCAACAATTTATTTATCTCAGACCCCTCCCAATACTTATAAAACTTTTTCTTCATTTCCAAAGCCATGCCACTCATTTCACATCTTTACTAGTACTGAAAACATTCAAATTAACTTCAATTGTGCATATATCATCAAAACAATGACTAGATGTCACAGTTTTGTATGAAGAAAAAGACAAAGTGGCATCATAAAAGATTTTTAAAAATTGTACCAATCGCCGAACATTCTCCCAATCAATTGATGATGGCGGCCCAACCCTTCTCTTTCCATTTTCATCCTCTTTAAAGTAAGCATCATACAACTTGTCTTCATTAGCCATTCGATCAAATGCTGCCTTATACTTGAAAGCTGCAGTCAACATGAGGTAAGTCCGTAAGTAGAATTCCATCTAGTATTGCAATCCAAAATCAAACTCCCTCTGCTTAGGTTATCTTGCTCTGCACGAATTTGAAATGCTTGAAATCTAGAACTGGATGATCTCACATACTTCATTGCATTACGAACACTAACCACACTATTACCCACCGCTGCCAAACCATCCTTCACAATCAAATTTAAAATATGTGCACAACAACGCACATGCAAAAACTCTCCACCCAGTACCAAAGGATCCTCTCTCCAACACCTCACTTTAGTTTTGAAAATCCTAAGTGCACTATCACTAGCAGATGCATTGTCAATTGTGATAGTAAAAACTTTGGTAATACCCCAATCAATCAACATAATGAGCAGTGATAACCATATAACTGACAGTAGTAGTACTTGCAGTCCATATATCAGTAGTTAAAGAAACCCTTGACTCACTAATCACACTCTTCAATAAAGCTTTTTCTTTCATGAACAATTCAACTACGTCTCTTGTGATTGTTCTTCGTGAAGAGATAATAAACTTTGGACAAGCAACACTACAGAATTGTTTAGACCCATCCCCATCCACAAAACAAAATGGCAATTCATCTAAAATAATCATCTTAACAGTTGCCCTCCTACAAGCCTCTTGATTAAACCCAACCGCCACAAGCTGACTACTACCACCTTTAACAACACTTGCTTCTTCATGTATTGTTAGATTTTTTTGGGTTGCACTATCAAGATGATCCTTAAATGCAGCACATCGATGATTATGTGATTTCAAACTACTAGTGCCACTCGTTGTTGGACACTTAAATTCTTTAAAGCAGTAATTACATTTACATTTATCCTTGTTGTCCTCTAATTTAGTAAAGTGATTCCGTACCTCGGACCTTGGAGCACTTGGTTTCGGTGGACGTCCACTGGTTGTACGTTTTCTTTTTTGTCCCATCGATTCTTCAATTGGCTCAGTTGGAATGCTACTTGGAGTGTCACTTGGAATGTTTTCCTGATGCGAAGATAAAGAATCATCCATTTGAAATGTAAACGGGACTGTAAGTGACTGGAGTCCTAATAAACTTTGGAATGTAAGCATATAACACTTTCAGTTCGAACTGGAATTAATCCCATTCCAGTTCACTGTCCAGTGAACTGGAATTTAGGAAGAGTATTCCAGTGAACTGGAATTTATGGAATTAAATTCCAGTTCACTGGACAGTGAACTGGAATGGGATTAAGTCTAAATAAAATTGAAATAAAGTGTTTACTAAACCTAATGAAATTGATATACAACATTACAACTTAACATAATGAACTTGAAATTCTAGAACACTAAGTCTAAATAAAAGCCCTAATTCAAAATTCAAGACTATTCAAATTGAAATAAGAAATCGAGAAAATGTATAAACTATAAAGTATAAAGTATAAACTATAAACTATAAAATTAAAAAATATAAAATAGAAAAGCCAAACATTACCTTGGTCGCGGGTGTTCTTCAATCTTCAGGTTTCACTCTTCAACTACGGTTTGAGAGACTGAGACTCTGAGTGACGAGTCTATGGCAGAGCCGTGGCGCGGTGGCGGAGGGGCGCGGTGGCGGAGGGCGAGAGAGCGAGGGGTGACCGGGTGAGTGTTGATGAGAGGAATTAGGGTTAGAACTTAGATGTATTCTGAGTTCTGAGTATTAGATATTTTAGATTATTAGAATTTTAGTATTTTAGTTTATTAATTATTATATATAATATATATATTTTTTTATTTAAAAAACCGATCGGGTTATCGGTTCGGTTCGGTTTTTAACCGAACCGATCGGTTTCACTTAAACTAATACCGATCGGTTTTTCGAGTAGAAATCAAACCGAACCGGTTTGATTCGGTTCGGTTCGGGTACCCGAACCGAATTTCCCATCCCTAAGCTATAGTATCTTATACTTTGGGCAAAATAAGATAAACAATTTAATTTTATTGAAGGCCCTTAGTATATGTACTAAACAATACCTTAAAAAACAATTTAAACTAAAAATCTTTTGGACCATATTCCATCCGTGTAAACCAATGAACCTGTACTGTCGAATATCCCATGAGATGTCACGAATTACAAAATCAAACAACTAATTGTGCTATTTCTATTTTTTCCCAATTATTTTGTATTTATTGTTAAACAGGTAATAATGCATGTACTATTTTCTTTCCATAAGTTAATATAAGTATTAATTTTAATTCAATTTTAAGTTTGTAGGATGAGGGAGAGGACCGGAAACATTTGAATTAACACAAATAGCTACTCTTCTAATGTATTATTTTTAGCTGGCTATCATTAACAGAGTCAGTAGTACTAAACAAACAAAAAAAATAATAATTCACAACCTAAAACTCTTATTGAAACATGATCGATCAAGTACCTGAAACCTATGATTTTGTTGAAATACTTCTCTTGCAATATATCTATTGTTTTAGTTTGTTATTGATAGATGTGTTATATGAATATTTCACTAGTGTTCCATTACACGTACACACTCAGACACAAGTCAAGTAGAGGTCACTTAATTACATTTCTTCTCATAAGTCAATTAACTACTCGTTGACTTATATGCTTCCATATAATGCACTATAACATTATCCCACGCAACTTACATACATTTGACTATCGCCTAATTTTTATTTATTTTTTGTATGGTAAAAATCGATGAGATATTAGTTTTTTATTTGTCAAACAATTTGTGAATATGACAGCTTATTTTATAACTAGAGATGTCATTTCCCAACCATGTCGTACTAAATTGAAATCACATTCTTTTTCATACTTTACTTGATTTACTGTTCGCTGGTAATGCCTAATTTATGAAAATTTTATTTTTTAAGATTAGACATGTTAAACGTGGATATATTTTAAATGAATATTATTATACCTTACAGTAAAGAAAAAAAATCCTGGTTTGGTAACACTTATTTAGTCAAACTATGAAATTACAAGATTTTCTTTTTTTACTTTCTATTTTTAATAGTTGATTTTTTGAGGTGTATAAATGTAAAAAATTCACATTTTTATACGTTTACATTTAATATATATATATATATATATATATATATATATATATATATATATATATATATTTACAGAGTATTATTTAATAGAATTTAAAAAACAATATTTGAGAAAGAGGCTGCCATCAATGGCCCAAGCCAAAGGTCCAACCCAGTACATACTACATAAGTTATAAGTACATATTGTTCTTCAGTCTTCCGCTCTCGGCAAATTCTTCTCTAAGGATGAAGTATTCTTTTCTCGGAACTCTCGCGTTTCTCAGGTATTATAATTTATATGCTTCTCCAATGTATTATTTGTTAAAGAATTGCTGATTTCTTATGTATTGTGGAATGATTTCTTGCTTGACACATGAATCATACTTCAAATATTGTGTTCTTCAGTCACTCTAGCGTCAAGGCAAAGAAATAGAGCAGGGCGAGTGAGGTTTAACACGCGATTAATCTAAGACTTCTCTTGAAAATCCTATAATTTATGCTTTAGTGATCTCTAAGAACTCAAGTTTATTCACTGAAATTGAAATATAAGGATATTTTTGGAATGCTAAATTGCATATTCAAACAAGGAATCCTTTGGAGCTGGTTTAGCAAGGTTATGTGCTATGACAATAATTAGAATGCTTCATAGCCTTAGGTTTTATCCTCTTCTTGATATGATGGCCATGAAAGTGCTGTTTTGTAGTTTCTTTGAGTCCAATGGATTAGAATCAAGGACTGAGATGCTGGGTTGCTGGCTGCTTAGTCTTTGACTGAGCTTGGTGAAAAACTATTTGAGGATTGATTTGGCTTAGCTTATTCATGAGTTAACTTGGGTTGATCAAATTGTTGGAATCTAGAGTAGTTCAGTAGTACTTTCTGTTTCTATACAGGGTGCAGTGTGACCATGTAAAAGAATTGGCTTTGGTATCTAGAATTTTATTCTCTTCCTGTATGGTTTAGGAGCAGGCTTTCTCATACAGGATTCAAGTAATTTTTACTTTAAAAGGTGGAAACATCAAACATTGGTGTCTTACTTGACAAAGCAATAAATGATATATCATCTATCTATTTCACTAATAAACATAAGTCAACTTCAATTGCTTTGATGTTCTTCAATCACAAATAGCAGGGAGCTAAATGAACAACATCTGTGCAACATTTGTGCAATATCTGTGCATATCATTGATTTAATAGTGACATGACATACTCTAGTATATTACTTTTTATCTGAAAGTCTATATAACAAGAAATTAAAACAGCTTTGATAACGTTTAAGTTCAAGATTATAATTCCTAATAATCAGAATCCCTGTTGAGCATGAAACATATTACAAGCTATAAGAGACTTTCAAGGAGCAGCTGGTGGCTTGAGCAGCATACTTCCAAGACCAATATCACTATCTGGAATACATTGCCACTTATTATATACTAGAATATCTTCTTCTTCAGATTTGTTTTCACCCTCCAAATCTTGTTGAATTTGATAAAGTTGCAAATGGAGAGTATCAATTAATGATGAAGGTTGTTTTTGGAGATTTGATCTTTTCCTTCTGGTAACATTTTTAGGATACCAGACAGGCCATTGGTCTGCTTCTCCAGAGAGGCAAACTGCAAAAATCAGCATATATAAAGGAATAAAGTGTTAATCAACTTTCTTTTTATGGTGGACTGAGTATGGATTGGTAGTAAATATTCAGCTGGATTTTTCAATAATTGCAAATTGAGGCATAAACTTGAAATAACACTAACAAAACACTAACAAGCATAGCACATTTCAATTGTTTATTGGTTTTGTTAAAGTTTTGATATTATATACATGGTAAGGCAAATGAAAGAACATGTTTTAATATCTCTTCCTAAGATGGAAACTGGAGAAACTAATGGAAAACTGATACATGCTATTATTGTAATATTAAAATTGTCATTCAATAATAGATATTTAAAGATTGATCCATTGTTGCTAATTGAGACTAGTCTGTGCATATTTTAGAAACTATCCCTTATTAAACCCATCCTATGCATTCAATTTGGATAAAGATGATTGTGAAAAGCAATAAGAAGCTGAAATATTTGTGTAGATTTTCTTAAATTCTGATTTTACTTTTGCAGTCATATTTCCTTTTGATATTCAGAGACTTGCCCTTAATGCAAATTAGGAAAGAGAAGTTTATCCTATAAAGAGAAACGCAATCCTATATGCTTCATGGACTCGCTTCAATTTTGTCTATGACTTGAGAACAACAGCATTACTTTGATATGCAGTTTTGGCAGTAAGTATTCAAGTACTACATTTTTGTTGCTCGTATTCTCTATCTCTTTTATTTTATTTTATTGAAAAAAATATTAATGTACCTTCTGTTCCTTGTGTTAGCATGCAATTCACTGGAGATGGTACTGAAGATTCTGAGCTTGAAATGCTAAATTCCCCCTCTTTAGGAGAGGTGGGACGCAGATCACTTCCTTTAGGCATTTTTCCTGCTCTCAACTTTTGCTGAGAGGTGATTCTGACAGCATGCCTCTTGGAAGGTAATTTGTGAATATTACCACTTGCATCTCTAATTCCATGTTTTGGAACATAATCATTGAGATTTCCCCTTAACCTCCATCTTGATCCACATGCATTGCACAGGACTGGCTTTTCTTCTGGTCCTACTCTCCAAAGTGGAGTATCTGTTTCATGTCATGGATTTTGAGTTTTTACAATTGATACTGATTATGAACTATTGATTAAACAATAATTAACTTATATAATATGAAGATAATAGGAAAAACAAAAGAAGTAAAAATGTCTAGATCAGGAAGGTTGTCAATTGTGAAACAAACCTTTTTATATAAAATCAGTGAAACATGAATTATTGCATATATTAACTTGGAGAACAGGAGAAGGCATGCAAAGAATGTTATGGTATTAATTTCACTGGAAAAGAAAGAATTCAAGCTAGCTAAACCTTCCTCCAATTCCATATCCATCTTCCTACTTAGTTAAAATTTAGTATACTCCTTCCAATATCATCTAAACCTCTATATCCCCTGTTACCTTCCCCCTTTACCCATACCATAAACATGCTTTGAATAAGAATTATCATTCCAATTTCCAACAGTGAACAAGTAGTTCATTTGCTTGTAGCTATAGATCACATGACTTGGATCAAAATCTACCTCTATGTGTAGCCTCATTAGCAACCAGCCTCTTCCTTCTTGATTTAAATGAAAGTGATTTTTGGAAATGGAAAGACTTAGATCTTAATAAATATCAAATCCAAGGATAACAATCATACTTCAGGTCTGCTATACTACTGTGGCTGTCTTGAACCTCTCCATCATCTAATGCATCTCTGCCTTGTGCCTCCACCAATGAGGGCAGTGGCTGAGAGGTAGTGAGAGCTAAGCTTGGCCAGAGATTGCCTTGATGTGACAGTGACCAATTGTTTTAAAACATTGGTCAGTAATGAAGAAAGCCAACAAAGAAAGGACTTTACCCTTGTTTAATCAAGCAATCTTCTTTTACAAACTACTAGAAAACTATTGACTTATAAATATCAAGCAATCTTTACAGACCTAATATCCACTCTTTTTTAATATCTCATATTATGATTCTTATACTATAGATGCTATAAAAATAAAAATATAATTTAATATAAAAATCATAATTATTATATAAATGTATATATTAATATATTATAATTTTGTGAACTAGGTAGCGTCAAGAGTGTGAATATGTGGATAAAATAACTAGGTATTCTGTAAAGGTGCCTAAAAATTCCCAATAATGGCCGCCATCCCCTTAATTAGTCCTGTACCTATACCCATCTGAGTATATGCTGGATTGCTGGGTATGGGTGCAATTTCCATTTCTAGCTCCAATTGAATACAATACATTTTTTATGCTGAGTGTATCTTTAAAGACAGAATAGAGTCTAAGTTGCTCTACTCTTTGACACTAAATTAATTGAAATGTTTGAATTTGCATTTCATTTTTGTATATGTCACCCCAAGTAAATCCTCCATAGATACATCTTAGTATTCTCATTTCCATAAAGATCACATTATGAACATTTTGCTCCTTTGACAGTCAGCATTCAATGCAATTAACATAAACCCTAATTGTTGTGCTGCATAACTTTCCATTCAACTTCAGAGCCACATAAAAGGCCTATGACACTTATCCACTTCACCCAACAAACCTTAATTCTATGATTTAGATCATTGTTCAGCTTTCCTCATGGAGAATACATTCAATTTATTATTTCAACATAATGGAATCAATATAGTATTTGCTTTGAATAATTTAAAATGTTATTTCAGAGTAATTTGAAATTATGAGGATTAGAGGTAGGTGAAGGAATTTGGGATGGATTAAAAACATAAGTTGGTCAACTTTAATGGGACAGTGAGAGCATATAGATCTTGATAACACTAATTTTAGGTAATTGTTGAATCACATAGATACATCTACTACAAGGGATGAAGACTCAGAAGAAATTCCTAGGGGAAAACTTGTTGTCTTGTCTTCCCTTGAGTAGTATGTTTGTTTGATGCAAAGTGAAGCTTATTTAGACACCCACACAGATTTTCCCTCTAAAGCTAGACAGGTAAAAAAAATTATAGTATAATTCTGCAACTCATCATTAAAAAAAATTGTCATTTTCTATTTGAGAAATAGAAAGAAATTAAGAAAATGAGGTATTGACTACTATTCTCTCATGCAAATTTTCACCTTCAATACATGGATACTAAGGTCATTCCATCAGTATTTCTCTCCAAATCCTAAAATGGAAGGGCAAAATAGAAATTCAGGGGTCGTTTACTTCATTTCTCTGTTTTTCCATTTCCAATTTTCCATCTCTCCAGTTTTCCTTCTCCATTCTTCCAGTTTTCTATTTCTCCAGTTTTTTAATTTTTATTCCTTATTTTTTCAATTTTTTATTTCTCTAATTTTTTTTTTCATTAAATACAATCATCTCATATAGCATTCGTACATTTCTACAACAACAACAACAACAACAATAATAATAATAATAATAATAATAATAATAATAATAATAATAATAATAATAATAATAATAATAATAATAATAATAATAATAATAATGAGCAAAGAATAATAATAATAATAATAATAATAATAATAATTAATAATAATGAAACAAAAGGAGTAAAGAAATGCAAAAGAGACGCGAATGTGCACAACAGAACAAACAACGAAATGGAAAAGAACAAAGAAACCACAAATGTGCCCAACAGGATTCGAAATGCAAACGTCCCAAAACCCAACACTATTCACCCACATTACCTCCGTTCCTCCATTTGGAAACATGCAAATAGAAGTTCTCCAAAACTCTATACAAAGTTGGAGAATGGAGGTGGAATAAGCCTTTGGAAGCATAAATTTAGTAAACGAGTTTTCCAATTTTTATTTTTTCCACTCTCAATTTCTCCAATTTTTTAGAAAATCCTCAATTTTTTCAAGTTAGTAAAGGACCCCTCAATTTTTCTTTTGAGGGTGGCAGTAGTAAAGATGTTACAAAAAGTACTCACAGGTAATCCGGCAATGACAACACGGCCCTTCTCTGCCCATTGGATTCGATGGTGATGATTTTCAAGTTCTGAAGAATTCTTCAACTCAAGAACTTTTCTTTCAACCCTGAAGAATGTATGAGCCTATCTTAAATAATCCAAAGACAAAAAAAATATTAATCCCGAAAACTTAAGATGAATCTGAAAACAGCTGCGTAGGTTAACAGCTGCTGTGTGCGGCAGTAATTGATAGCAGTACCGTTTAGTGTATTCTGCCTAAAGCAAATCTGCACACATTTATATGGGCCAGTATATCAAATGGAAATTATATTAATTTCCTCCAAAGTCTTATATTTGGTCTTGGTGAGTCAAATTTGAAAGGCATTATGTTTGGGGGAAAAGGATAGGTTTTGTCTTTTACGTTTGGTCTCTGCCTGTTTGCCTCAATAGTTAATGCTTATGGCATGATCTGAATAGATTACAAGTAAAACGTTTTTACTAAACTTTGCAAAGAGTAAATAAAAAAGAACCAAATGAGTATTACACCTTCCAATGAGTATTACATTGGAATCAAATCCAATAGTAGGGGAGGAAAAGAGGAGTGATTTTTATTATTATTAGAAGTATATTCAAACATGGTGGAATCAAAATAAATTTTTTATATATATGAAAATTTCATGTTGGATACATGGAGGATGACCATTTTACTTTTTTCCTTCGTCATTTTTTATTCCAATGTTCTAAAGTAGGGGAAAGGAAGAGGATTGCTTTTTATGATTACGAAAGGATTTGAATCCGATAGTAGGGTAGCAAAAGTAGGCAAACAAACATGGTAAATTGGAATCAAATAGGGTATAAACGTACCCGTCCAAATACCACTTTAGTTTCATTCGAAAAATCCCAAATTTTATCTTATTGTGCCCTGCTTGTATTTCATTCCAATCCTTATCTATCAATTTTTCCTATATATTTCAATTTCCATCAAATCCTTTCTTTAACCTCTTACTCAAATTTAGTGAAATGCATGCATGACTGGACTTTTCTTTTAGGCCTTCTGTCTAATAATAATAATATACTCCATAGATTATCTTCCTTTTCTAGCACCCATCTCTGCCATTAAAGTAAGTAAATAAATTTACCAATTTATCACAGCATCAAAGGGTGTTCCATATAGATACTACCACATTTTCCATGCTATCCAGTTCCACAACTGTTTAAATGACTGAGATGTGTATTCTACACTTTGAGTGAGGCTAGGTTAGTCTGATGTATAGCGAATAAGCCGAATATATATGATGCTCTTACACTTTCTGGCAAAATGAACTTGAAAGGATTTGTGAGTGGGCCCCACCACCTTTTTATGGATTTTAATTAATTCTTCGATGATAAAAAAAAAAAAAAGCACATATGGTAATTTTTCTTACCTTTTTTTATTGGCATTTAATTAATTCATTACTAAAGAAGGCAAAGACAATTAGAAATTTTACATAAATGAATTTTCTTATAAATTCTAGTTTCTATTATTTGGGTGGAAATGTAATAACACGATGTTTTTTTTTGCAGTTGAGTTTCCAAATATGACGCCTTCGATAATTCATTTCTTACAGTCTCTGACTCTCTGTTTAATTGATGTACTTGGCCATCTCTGTCTGTATTGGTCGTCTCATTTCTAGGCGTATACGTGCATCATAAAAGTTTGCTTTTCAATTGACCTAACAACAAAGAGAGTCAAATGTTTCATTTAAATGACAGAGGAAAATCATTTAAGACTTACGTTTTGTCATTTTATGTTTTATGGGACAAATAAAATTGGGTCAAAGGTTGCATATAATATATCTTCATTATCATAATCACCCTTTGAGATTCTAGAAATGCATATTACTTGAAAAATCTACTATCTGACATGGTTCATTGTCACCTTTTTCTCGAGCTTGAGGGATGCTTATAAGGTTGTGAGTAAAAAGGTGTATAGTTTTGACTATGTTACCATATAGTATTGACATTTGTATTTTGTACATGGATTGGTGCGTCTCTTATTTGCCTAAACAATGCCCAAAGTTTAATATGTGCCATGTCCAAAGTTTAATATGTGCCATGTCCAAGATTAATGTTATGGGGCTTCAAAGGCAACCCCATTAATGGTGGAAACAGGTATCTCCGGGTCCCAAGGAGATTGTCTCTACACATATGTAAATAATCTAGGACATAGGACTAAATTCTTAGTCTTTACGCATATGTAAATAATCTGGGACAGAGGACTAACTGACCAAGAATTGTACAAAATGTACGAGTTTTTAGTGTCTTGTTTATGCTTATGTGAATATAATCTGCAATGGTTCACTAAGAATTATGCAGAACATTTAGCAGTCCTTTTATTAGGTTGAACTGATTGTATCAAAATGTTGTGCATCAGGTGATTTGCAACTCTGGTGTGTGGTTTACATGATTCTCCCTTGCAACTCTTGGTCTAGGTGCAGCGCTAAATGCAACATATTTATGAAGGCGGCAATCGAGTTGCAGATGCCTTCAAAAATGTGGGAGTGAAAGCGCCTTCTCAGCTGCTTCTTTGGTCTGTCATCTACCCTCAATTCTTTTCTCTCTCTCTCTCTCTCTATATATATATATATATATATATATATATGTATATATATATATATATATATATACACACACACACACACCATTTCATCTTGAATTGGGTATATGTAGGAATGGCTGCCCCAAATTATGATATGATATATAGGGTGTGTTGCAGCTCATGTAGTAATTTGGGTTTGAAAGAGAACTGATTGCCTGAAAACTGTGACTTAGCCAGCATTTGTTAGTTGTGGAAAAAGAGAGATGAAAGGCAAAGGAGAGAACTAATGAAAGAAAAACAACCTTAAATCCCCTCCAAGAAAAAGTGTGAGAAACTGAGAATAAGAACCTTTATAATGAAATCATAGGCCACTTTTCAAATCTATAATGCTACATGGACCAATCAAGCATATAAAAGTATAAAACATTCAAACAGAAATAACATAGAGAGTAGCATGTATGAGGTGATGCATTTCCAAACAGCATATACAAAAATTTCTATGCTCCCTGCAGAAAAGACAAGGATGGACAAATATTTCAAGGAGCCTTGTATGGGTGGAATAGAAGAAGTTAAGTGGAGGATCTGCGGCTCCACCTTCGAGCCTTTCTCCTGGTCTTCTTCTTCTTGATCTTGGATGAAGAAAGCTTGGAAAGCGAGCGGATTTTTGGAGCTGGTTGAACTTCTACCGGCAGCTCAGGTTCTCCAACAGCGGGAGGCACGCAAGAGTTTTCTACTTGATGAATCATGACCTCCTCTAGATTACTCATCCTTTTATTGTCGATTAGAATGTCACCTTCACCCTGCATAGATGCAAATAAACTGTGGTTCATAAGTGATGATATTAATGTTTATATATAGACCGAGTAAAAGGTTTCTTCACAGTTAATTCATTTTATCTGGTGAAAAAGTTACTGTGATGGTAGCTCAAAGTCTGGGAGAATAATGGCAGGCCAAGGATAATATACTTACATTGCTTATGCCACCAATAAGAGATTGGCTTGTACTTTCAATCACATCAGGGATGCTTGTACCATCTCCTCGAGTTGAAATGGCACCTTGAGGTGCAATCATATCTCCGGTGTTATAGTCAGAAATAAGCTGAGATGCCAGAGAAGACCCTACAGCCATTTTGCCCCCACTCTTTGGAGATGAAGGATTTCGAGAAGAGCTGCTCAAAGCATTGCAGGGTAAAAACAAGCTCAAGTTATCAGTGCTAGAAAACTTCCCTGCATTTTCACTCAATACCTTGTCAACTCTACTTCTAAGCTGGCTAACTTGTGATTGCAAAACACCAATCTTACGGAGTATTTGTTCAGAGGAATTATGTTCACCTCTGGACCCAAACCATAGATGTTCACCGTTAGCCCCAAATCCATGATTGCCATTTTCCTTTTCAATGGGAATTGCTGCAGAATAAAATCTGATTTTAAAAATTATAAATTGGAGAGAATGAACTTCATTGAAAAAAAAAAACCTAAAAAAATTGATCTCCGCATCTAAAATATAAATGGAATTTGTTGGGACCTGGAAACATCAATGAAAATGCAATACAGCATATCATATTACTGAAAGGCCAAGAAGCTCAGGAGCTTCTTACACCGTATAGTAGTCTAAACATAACACAGTAGGTCTTCTTACACTCTACAAACAAGACCTAGGTGAACGGAATTTTGATTGTTTGCAAATGGAAAAAAGGGATAGCTTGTTACTCATCATCTAATCCTTTTAGAAGATATTTGTTTTGAACACTAAAAACAGCCACAAAGGTAAAACTTGCCCCAAAGTACAATCCAAGTCCAAGGTCAGATTCTCCTATTCAAGATTGGAAAGGCCTCATGAGAAGAAGCAACAAAGATTGCTAAGAGGTAACTGTGGATCAGCTATAGACTATAGTAACTGAGTAAAACTCCTCCTAACTAGGCAGTTTTATTTTGGGGAGGGGGGATAATGAAGGCTAACTGCCCTTCTTATCTTTATGTCCTTTCTATTTCCAATTAGTGAAAACTTGGTGAATTTCATTCAGGCAAGGTCTCCCTAATTGCAGAAAAAAAATGTGAAAACAAAGTAAAAATGAAAACTCTGATTTCATATGCATGAAAACAACACAATTAAATAATCAAAAAAAGAATTCCGCACCTGTAGGGCCACAGTCATCATCAAGAGAAGTACCATCAACAAAAGATTTTTTACGTTCTGCGACATACAAACATCATGTCACAACTTGAAACACAAGGCAGAAGAAGGAAGGGGATAAAGAAAATTTCTTTTACCATAGTAAGAAAACAAATTGTGGCGAGACATATATATTGCTGTGTCCTCAGTATCTTCGACTCTTTTTCTTTTCTTTCTTTTTAGAACCTTACTTCTAGGTCTGTTATTGGAAAGTGGAAGTGACTTTGAGCCAAAACTTTTTGTTCTCACACCCTCCAACTGAAAATTGTTTTGGTGGTTGTAGCCCGCAAGTTCTTTGTCATACTTTCGTGCTTGAAACTGAAGCTGCATGACTTGCAATTCAATCCACTTAATACGCCATGAGAGGGGCTGTACAAATCTTCTCCAGTGAGAGGTTAATTGTTTCTCCTGGAAGGCCAATAGTAATAATGTCAACAGCCATCCGGATTTCAGACTAAATATTAAGAAACACACAGGACAAAAACAGATGTTCTATTGAGAATAAGCATTAAAGATAATATGAACTATTCCTCAGCTCGTTTTTTTTTTTATTGGATCAGAATGAAGACGGGTATTTTTCACTCCCAAAATGAGGTGAAATTATTCTTCATCTACTAATAACACTATATATGGCATAAAACTCTTCCCTTCCTCTACCTCTCAATATAGCGCCTCTATTCTCAATCCTCTCTCCCCACCTTGTCTTCTCACTATATATGGCGTAAATAGTTTGTAAGAGATAACTATAGAAACGTTATATTTTATTACTAAAATTTGAAAATTTTTAATTTTTAATTTTATTTTTAATTAAAAAAATAAAATAAAAAAATTAAAAAAAAAATAAATCGGCGCCTAGGGGGCGCCTAACGTTTTTTGCAACATTGGTCACGATTCAGACTAATAGAATTATTCCAAGAAACCACACAATACACGGATATAAGCTAAATAAAAGCTTCATTGTGAATAGACATAAACCGTGAATCGCATAATCAGGGAGTGATAATAGTCAGAGATTTACCACACAATATTCCAGAAGAGTAGTAGTACCAAAAGACATACCATATGCAGTAATCAGAGTTAAAACAATATATCAACCATAATTACTACTCCCCCTTACTGTATTCCCCCCTTATTCTAACTTACCAAAACAATCTCCCCTTAATCCCATATATCTCCCCCTTTTTGCCAAATAAATGACAAAAAAAGTTGTGAACATCAGACAATGGATTAGACTAGCGTGCCGTCAGGGTGCCTGAAACTGAATCGCATCATCATCAGTCCCAGTATCTGTGATGTACAGCTTTGTTGTGAGCAAAAAAATGGATTCTAGGCGAGTGATCTCTTGAAATTCCACACTTAAGAGCTGCTCCAAACCGGAGATGGTCGCTCGTTGTGAAGCAACAGAAGTATGAAGTTGAGCTATTGACCCTGAACCGTAGCAACAATCTGCCGGCGTGCAAGTAGAGTAGAAGGTTCCTTAGGCACTGTACCAGATTCAGAGACAGGAGCAGAGGCAGTGTCTCAGAAAAGAAAACCAGTGCAAAAACATGTGGTGTAGAAGCTATAGGTATAGAAGGCGCAGTTAGAGTAGCCCGATCATCAGATTGATAACTCTGAGTAAGCCGGTCATCAAACACAAAAACATTTTCATTCTCAAACATAGAGTAGCCCGGGCTAGTGTCAAGGCTGTTGCTGGAACAGAACCAGTCCGTGAATGTGTCATTTTGGGTGGAACAATGGTCTCCCTTCTTTGTTGGTTTGTCTCAGAAATAAAGTCCACTTCATCAAGCATATTTAATTTCCTCTCCTCAACAGTACCTGAAATATGGATTTTGTCTTTCTCTTTTTGGGAAGACTTGGCTAGGGGTACAGAAATGACAGGGACAGACTCATGAGCGCACGACACAGAAACTGGAGCATGCTTAGACCTAACAGCAGGAGTAGAAACTGACACGAAATGCTAAAGCAGAGCAAGTCACAGGTACATGATGCATACCAACACATTGGACAACATTTCCAACAGTATAGTTTCATATCTTTGTTGTGATCTATTGATTTATTCCTACGATGTGAACGTATGTAATCGTTGTACCGTTTGCTTGATGCATGATTAAGGTTTATGGGGCCTTAGTCTTCTGGGTAACGATGAGGTCCTCGTGTGGCCATGATTGAGATTGGTGGTTTGTTATTTGAGCTTTGCACATGAGATTGACGGTTTTGTGATATGATATTGAATGGTACCCTCGTGTACTGAGAGATCGGTGGTGAATAGGAGTGTCGGCGGTGGGAATGACGGTCATCGGAGGCAAAATGTTAGACTCAGAAGTACAGGGTGGCACTAGGAGGTAATGGTTGGAACTGAAATAAGGCCGGGGGTAGCCATAAGGTTGGAACTCGTGACATGTAGTTGCCAATGTGTGAATGTGTACTCTTTGCTATTAAGCATGTCTTGATGTATTCTACTTTGTGATCAGTAGAATACATCTCGAGTTGTATTGTTTACTGTTGGTATTCTTGTCTTGTTGTTGTCGTAAGGATGTTGATTTCCTTTTTCCTTTGAGAGTGTGAATGAGTCTTTGAAGTTGACTTCTCTCTATGGCTTTTGAAATGATATATACTGTATTCCGTTTCGAAAATGGTTTTGACTTATACTATTTATATATGCTATTTAACGCGTATTGATGGGTTACCAGCAATGTTCACTGACCCCGTGTCATCCCCTATCTTTATGTTGCTTTACAGGTTTGAGTAGCATCTTGGAGAGCGCGCTAGCAGATCGTTAGTTAGTGTAGCTCCTTGTGACTTGTTTTAGTTAGACTTGAGGCCTATGAGCCGTGGATTTTTATAAGTATGACTTTGACGTTTTGCTTAGACTTAGCCTGTGCACCTATAGATGTGTAGGTGTGGCATAACATCTCCCGTACTTGTTTATTAGCTTCCGCTTGATTTTATCTTAATGAGTAGTATTTATCTCTTCCTTAAGCTTTAACTGGTTTTTAAAAGTTGAGAAAATCGGGGGTGTTACACCTAGAGCAGCTCGTAACAATTCGAGTCTCAATTTTCCAATGGTTTGGCAAACAAGTCTTCCTGGCTCTTGTCTGCTTTCCCGCTTGACATGCGCAGTATATGCCAGTTGAGTCAATTTCCATTTAAGGTAGACTGCTAACACCCTCTATCTTGATGAGTTTATCAAGTGATCTATAATTCAGATGCCCTAGTTTTTGGTGCCATAGCTCAGCTTCATTTATGCTGGACCTGCAACAGAAAATATTGTTAGTTGGAATATAGCAATTTATCAGTTGACCTTTTACCTTCCATAACGCATTGATTTGCTTTGTCCAGGACACTGCAGTTATTTTTGGTGAAGCACACATTCCAGTTTTGGTCACAGAGTTGACTTATACTTATGAGATTTGCGTGAAGTCCACTGACTAGCAATGCTTTTTCTAGCTTAGGTAGGCCAACTACATTAAGTGTGCCTATGCCCGTGACTTTGCCTTTAATACCGTCTCCAAAGGTAACTTCACATTTTCTTGCATTTACGTTACTAAAAAATTTGACATTTCCTGTCATGTGACGGGAGCACCCGTTGTCAAAAAACCACTTCTCTTCTCTTCCTGCACTTTTAGAGTGGAATGAGACAAAAGAAATATAGTCAGTCTTTTTAACCCAAATTTGTTTTGTAAAAGGCCGGATGTTCTTGTGCCTGAATTTCTCAATTCTTTGTTCCTTGTAGAAGTAGTAGCATTCGGGCCTGGTATGACCGCGCAACCTGCAATAATGACACACAGGGTTATAGAGTTTATAAAATTGCTTGTTTGATCGCACTATACCATTGTTTTGTCTCGCTGAGCTGGATTCAGGGACGTCCACTGGATCAGGTCCTGATGCTTTGACGAATACTGTTTTACCTTTTGAAGCATCCACTAGATCAGGTCCTGACGCTTTGACAAAACACCGTTTTGTCCTTTGATGTACCCCCGGTGAAACCCATACCAAATTTTGTAGAGGATTTTCTTCCTGAATCAAGTATTTGGTCAAGTGTTGAAGTTGTGTTCATCATTTGGATTTGCCTTTTATAGGTGCTTAGCTCCTGCTTCAGGGTCTGTACCTCCTGTTTCAGTCTCTCTTCTCGATCAGCTGCATCTTTAAGGAGGAAATCCCTATCAGCTACTTGATTTTGATACACTTTACTAGCATTGGTTACAATTCCTATCTCACTAGTCAATTTACGATTTGCTTTTCGTAGGGCTTCCCATTTGGGATACAACTTATTAAAATCAACTTCATAAGATAAGGTATGTAACTCTAAATCTTCCGCGGAGACATATTCTCTTCCCTCCAAGTCAGCTACGTCTTCAAGTTCAGAGCATGCTGCAACACGTGCAGTAAACGCAACAAAGTTACCCGAAATTTCTTCTACATCAGATCCAGTTGTTTCAGCTTCAGGTTCGTCGTCACTCCATGTAATGGCTGACATAGATTTTTTGCGTCTAAGATAGGTGGGACACTCCGCTTGTACATGTCCAAAGCCTTCACACTCATAGCACTTGATTCCTTTATTGTTAGATTTTTCTTTGGACTGCCATGGACGTGAGACAGACTGCTTGAAGTTTGACGAGCCTGTCCTAGGACCAGCTTTGGATGACATTGTTCCTCTTTGTGGATTTTTGTTGCGTGAATTATTTGATACCTGTTTCAAAATTTTAGAAAATTGTTTAGTCAAAAAACAACTGTATCATCACCTGGTTCGTCTGAATCAGATACAACAAAATTTCCTTCAGCGGCAAAAGCTACATTTTTTGTTTTTTTTTTTTGTTTTCGTGTAATCAGTTAAAATTTCCATTTCGTAGGTTCGAAGATTTCCCATTAACTGAGTAACCGTTTTGTTCTCCCAGCCGTCATGTTCCTGAATGGCCGTAACTTTCATTCTTAACCATGGTGGTAATGATCTCAGAATTTTTTTAACATGTTTTTCTTGGGGGAAAGGTTCACCGAGAACCATCGCACGATTTGCCAGTTCTTGGACGCGTGTGTGGAAATTTGTGATGGTTTCATCCTCACTCATCTGGAGTTCTTCAAAGTCGGACTGTACCAGTTGCAGCTTCGATTGTTTTACAGACGTCGTGCCTTCGTAAGTTGACTCAAAGGCTTCCCACGCGCCTTTAGCTGAATCATAACCTGCAACTATAGGAAATTGAATAAATAGTATCTAAAGCCTTATCATTGTTTCCAGCATTAGTTATTTCAGTTTGGGACCATTTGGTTTCAGGTTTAGTTACTCGTGTTCCATCATCACTGGTACTGGCTTTAGTCGGATGAGTCCAACCTGCCACTACGGGCCGCCATACTGCATCACCTTGAGCTTTTTGATGTGTACGTGTGCGAGCTTTCCAATAAG